TTCAATACTTCGTCCTTTTCTTCCTTCAAAACGAGGGGTTAACCGCCATGTTGCAAGAATCGGGAAGGCCGGCCGCCATGACTGCCATTTTGTTTTCGTTCGTTCGTTCGTTCGTTCGAACAAGGCATCTTGGCGAGGGCCCAATCCCGGCAAACCGCGTCCGCGAACAACACTTGACAATCGTTGTGTTCACAGGGAACCAACCCAGAAAAAGAAGAATCAGGACCGCGATAGTCGCCGGGCGCCCATGCCAGTAATTATCCTTCCGAACAGCGACCTCAACCGAAACCTAGAAAGATAACCTCGTCGCCAAAATTATGTTATGTTTTAAGGGGGGTACACGCGACGATCTCCCCTGGTCCAGCTACATGTCAAGGACGAGGGTGGCCGGCAAGGGCGCAACTCACCGGGCTGCCCAACGGGGCCCCATGACGCGAGCCGGGCCGGTGGTCGGATCAAAGAGACATGTCGTCGGGTCAACGTTCGGGCCAATCTCTGAGCAAGCTCCTCGAGCCGCCCCAAGCAAGCTCCTCGAGCCGCCCCATTTATTTACACACTCCCGTAGATGGCGCTAGTTTGCAACACTACATTTCTCCTCCCCATAAAATGACAGAGGAAAACATGCTACCGCTCGTGAAGCCAACTGAAACGCTGTACGTGGAAGATACGCTGACACTACACTTATGTTACGGGTTGGCCAAGAAGCGACCGCGTTCAGTCTTAGGCTACCCTTTTTTATGTTAATCCGCGGTCCCCCGGCACGCGCTCGCAGAGCGCGCTTCTTTTTCTTCTCCGTGGTGATACCTGCGATCATCACATGTACTTACCTGAATGACCGCGCATCCCAAAGCAACGACAAGACTCGGTGAGGGCGCCACGTTTCACGAACGAATAAACACTGCTTGCCGGGCGGCATCCTAATAAGTATGTTGTCTTAGTGTTTTAGTGAGACGGAAGTTAGTCAACCCCGACGGTCGTCTGGTGTCTCAGCTGTAGATGAGAAATGTAGCCAGTACAGTACAACCGCTAACCTCGGGTATCTTGCGTGCATCGCGTAGTAGTGATACACGACCGCACACCAGTAGGATGCTCATCCAGGTCAAAACGGGCATGGGTAAGGATTGAACCCAGGACCCTTAATTTCTGCAGTGCGGCATTTCGCTTCATAAGAGGCAACCTTTATTTAGTAAATCCAGTGGTAAAGCTTTAAAGTATCTTCTTTTCATTTAAGTCACCACAACTATAAAATAGCGGTGCCTTACCACTATATATATTTTTAAACACGGCGAATTGATTGAACAATATGACCTACACTGAAAACTTTTCGGAAAAAAAATTACTGTATATATGAAGTATCGTTTAAAAACAACTTTTTATTGATGCAATTTCCATTATATTCGAATAAAAACAACTAGATTTTGTCGTTAGTTAAAAAGTTTTATTTGCTTTTTCTTTTGCGTTGTGGCTTGAGTGAAATATATATAGGACAACGAGGCTTACTTACCCGTCGGCCGGTCTTCGCCCTGTTGGCGGCTCTGAAACGAGCGAGGTAGCAACGCCAACGGTTATTATTTTTAGATTGGACACCACATCTTTTTGGAGTAGAAGAAGGACGCATGTTTTAAGAGTCGCGGTGTCCGTCTAGTATCCATATGTTACGAGCGCCGAGAAGTTTGAGCACGATGCGCAACTAGAGCTTTATAAAGCAAAAGCACCAAATGTAGCTTATATTTACACATACTTTAGTGTTACCAATAAGTAAATCCGTTCTCGGAGGAAGAGACATGTTCACTGACGGGATTCTTATTTATTTGCTGACGCCACGGGTTCTGATGTTACGGGATTCAAATATTTCTTCATATATCATTTTAAACTTCCCAGGGAGCATAGTTTGGCCAAATGTTGTAACTTGTTTTCTGCCAGAACGAATGGACAAATGGCCACGAAGGTGTTTGTTTCACTTATGAAGAGTGTCCGTTCTTTCTTACTATCGATAAATCTTGCACCTTGCCTTGCTATGCCGACAAGGAAGGGCAAAAGAGGAAGCACCCTTTTCCAGGAACAACTGGCAGCCGGCTCGGATACAAAACACATTGGGATGTGCCTTTGGCCTTTTCTGTCCTATCACCTTTACTCAGAAAACAAGAACTCGGGATAGAATGTTTTATGAACCCCGGTTTAGGCAATCTCAATGACACGCGGCAAAGCATGCGTGAAGGTGTTCCAATGATCAAGCGCGCGAAGGCGCTTCACTCATAAGACAGACTTTTTGTATGTTCCCTCGCTGTTCATTGGCGTCAGATTCCAACGCACCCGAGAATTCAGTAAAATGAAACTCAATGAGAAGCTCGAAATCAAAGGCCCAGGGAATTTGCGTCTACCATTAAACATCGAAGCCCGTGGAGTCAGCAAACTGATCAATGGGAGACGAATTTTTAATTCTCAATGGTACAGCCTGAAACCGTTCACGGATACATTGTTTGTACTTCTTTTCAATAAGAACCGAGTGGGAAGTTGCACGTTTTGGGGTTTACTTCATCTCTGTCCTCATGTTCTCGGCGCTTATCGCTTAAATGTCACGTGACAACCACCTAACAGACCGTCTTGTTGTCAGTCAACGACTGAGAAGGGTGCCGACGTTTCGAACGTGGGCGAAATTCGTCGTTCTCAGCTTTTTCAGATAGTGGTCAAATCGTGACTGCGGATTACTGATTTAGTGCAAAGTCGCAGCCACACTTCTAATGCGCCAGACAAAAGACGGTCTGCAGACAAGGTCTTAGAGCTGTTTCTTCTTTGTATGACCGTTCTGTCAAATCGTTGATAAGGAAACTGGACGCAGACATGTTTTAAGCGTACACACGTGTAATACAAAACATAATTCGAACAAGTTTTTGGCCTGTCCATGCATATTTTTGTCAACATGTCGGCCGCGAACGCGGTTTTTTCTATGATGCATGAGCAGTGCGACTCTGGCTTAAGGGGGTACCTGGGCCTAAATTTCAAAATTTCCTGAAATTTTTTATTTTTTTTTTATTTTTGAGGTTTTTGGTGTTAAAAATGATTTTACACCCTTACAATAAAATTGATAACCATACGCCAAATAGTTACGTTGATATAAAATATTTTCAACACATTGTGAGGCAGTATCAAGGTAAAGAAGTTTGATGCTTGAATGCATTTTTCTGAGTTCCCCTCTTTGCTGAAAATTTCATACGAAGGAATATTTTGCTCAAAGGTAAAAGTGTTCTCATACCCCAATTAAGATGTTTCTGTATTGAATTGAAATTTCTTAAGGAATCAGTCTATCTACTTTATTTTGCTGCAAGTTGAAGTCCTCATTGAGAAAAAAACAGCTTTTTCTCACAGAGGACAATGCATCTCCTATATTGAGGTAACAACTCTTCGTGAAATATTTACATTTGAGTAATAAAAACAAGACAGTACAAAGTCCCATACCCCCCACTTTATATTAAAGCAGCCAAAATGGTGCTTAGTAGATTAATTTGCATACCTTAGATTTCTTCAAAACAAAAAGTGACACATTTCTTATGCAGGTATGTAATATTGCATTAAAGAGCTGAAAGTTTACACAACGCAACCAACATCGGATGTTAAATCTCCCCTGCAAATTGCATCCCGATGACTTGGGTAGTTGGAAGGTTAAATCTCTCGTCAGTGCCCCCCCCCCCCCTCCCGCCCCCCTTAAGGCGCGAAGGGTTGAAGCGATACATGCCCACCCTTGTTCGACCAACGACTACCGTAAACTACAATTCAGAAATGCGTTCCAGAACGGTTCTTCGGTTCCCTGCGTCTTGAATCTTTCCGTAATGTGGACCGGGGTAGTAAAAGTAGTAAAATCAAAATGGCCCTCCTGGCGAACGTTTATCTTAATAGAGAAAGCTTTTGCTTATTTTTAAATGTACCATGCAACGATATTGGGATCAAATGGTTCTCGCTTTACGCAAGCGTACATGCGCTAAAATGATGAAAGCACACTCGCACGTAACGACACTGACCATCAAGCATCTTTTTTGTGGTATAATGTGAAACGCAAAAGCACACTTTTTGAAAGTTCAAAGGTTCAGAGGTTTTTATTGGCTCAAACTGCCGTAAAGCCAAGAGCCTGAGGCAATCAAAAGGCTAAAGCCCGTGTAGAATGTGCTTTCTGTCTCCTCCTCCTCGGCTCTACGTTAACAACTGAAATAAAAAATCGCAAAACTTGATGACGTATAATGGGGATCGGATTGTAGACATAGCCACGAGCGGATTTCCCCAGAGTGACGATAGTCACATGTGGCCCATAGCCTAGGCACGAGCACTAACCCCCGAATTCATAGATGTGACTTGAACTGAAGCCAAACTTCGACTTGCTCAAGTCCGCCTTAACACCAAGTTCGACTTGAAAACGCCCAAGCTGCGTTTTACGTTTCACAGACGTTCCCGCGAACTTCCTTCGTCAAGTCCCGTTCAAGTCGCGAGCGGTCGCGGCCCTCCTCGCCTGGGAGCGAGAGTAGGCTGCAGTTTTTCTCGTAAAAGTTCTTTCAGACTTTAAAATAAGGTACTTCTCTAAATTTTCTTTATAGCATATGTTTACGAAACATAAATCGCGAGAGATGGTAATGGGAAGTTTAATTATTTTAGCGATTTTACGCGTTTTCTGGACATAATGATGATTTCGTCTAGCAACATACCAAATAGCCGCCAAGCACGCTCTTCGCTGCTATTCGCTCGTCCGGACGCTCCAGCCTTCCCTTCTGTGCAAGTTTTCTTCTATTAAACGGTAAAACTTTTGAGATTCCCCCAACCCTTGAGCAGCAGTGGAATGGCCACTAAAAAAAAACAATCGCCGCGCTTCACCGCTGATGAAATATCTATTCTATCGGGGCTTGTCGGCAAGCATAAAACGATCATTGAATGCAAAAAGACAGACTCCGTATCTTCGAACCTCAAAAACGAGACCTGGGAGAAACTCTGCAATGAGTATAATTGCTTACCGGGCGTTAGTCCACGGGACTCTAATCAGCTCAAGAAGTGTTGGGGGAACCTCAAACAAAAGTGGAAGAACGAGCGCTCGGACGAGAAGCGCAAGACCCACAAGACAGGTGAGTGTTCTGTCCCTGCTCGTCCATGTTACTCGGAGTGATCGATCTAACCTAGCATTTGCGATTGGCGAAAGATCATATTGGGAAACCTTTTCGCGCTTCCTTTTTGTCAGCGTGTGTCATTCCGCATTTTCTTCAGTTCAGTATATAGAAAGATCGTGATATGCGCAATGTTCCGAGTGCCGTGGATTATCCCGCTCCCGTTTAGATCCACTTTAGCTATGTTGTACTGAGGCACGCAGCAGATGTCGACATATCTTCCGTAGGGGAAATAGTTGTTTTGCATGCGAAATGGCATAATATGGCATTGTTGCAGTTTACTCTTACGGCGTTATTGCCTTATTGATCAACCTACCTTTCTATTTTTTACCCGTGTCACAAAAATATCGTGCTAAAACGTCCCAGCCTCGTCTATGTACAGGAGTGTTTCTTTAGAATATTCAGTATGTGCCTATATCTCGACTGCTTTAATCAAGTGACTTGACATACACGATTGTTCCTTAGGAGGGGGGCCGCCCCCCACACCCATGAGCGCAATTTCTGTGCTTGTGGGGGCAGTAGCGGGGCACATGGCCACCCGCCTTGACAACGATAACGACTCCGACGGAGTCGCCTATCTGCCCCCTGTCCAGAACGAGCCAGTGGTGCGGCTGCTGGAGGGCATGGTCGACTGCGACCCAGTGTACGAGTATGCAGGTACAGTGTTGAGACACATCGATCTGCACTTTAGGCCACTTGTAGGTTGCGTGTGATGGAAAAATATAAATAAAGGGACTCAGAATTCCAGAACGGTGAAGATAAGACAGAAGATATTTACAGTCGTAAGAAAAAAAAGTAAGAAATAAAGCAGTGTAGATATATAAGCAAAGTTCAGTTCGGCAAATCCGCTTACGGCACGGTGTTGCACGTCGGCATTGGCATGGAGTTGGCAGGCTCGCTTGGCACAAGCGGATGTTTCCCAGCAAGCTTGGTTAACAGCCCCACGGGCCTGGATTTGTCTGTCCGGGCTCTTCCTTGGCTGCCAGGACCACTGCTGTCGAGCCGGGTTCCGTGTCGTGCCCGCCCTTTTTTCACGTATCACAAGCCTGTGTCATCTTCCTCTCATCACGTCTTCCTTTTTCATTATATCCATCTCTTGCTTTGGCCTTGCTGCCTTCGTCTTCTAGTTACTCACACCTTCACCACGTTCCCTGCGTCTTCTTTCTCGTTTTTTGCTCAGTCCTACTCACAGTTTTCATGTATGTCGTTCTTATCATCCTTGGTTCCCCCCCGGCACAGTGTGCACCTCACAAGGGATTGGTAACACAGAATCCATTCTATAGCTTTGTAGTAATGTTGCACAAATTAACCGGCCACAATGGCGCCCAAGCGTGGTATGTTACTCACTCGCAGAAATTTCACGAGGCTTGGTTTCTTCTTTTGGTAAGCCTTTTTCCACTCCCCGTGTTTCCTACCGTCCCGTGCTTCGGTCACGTCCGCGTTTGTTGTATTGGTTTGTTTTTGACCGTTCGTTTTGTGACTGCGGCAATAGTTTCGCACGCTTGTGTTGGTTTCTGGGCGGCGTTTCTTTTTCTGTGCTTGCAGCCATGCTCACACGGGAGCAGGAAGCTGCAGTGGCCGCAGCGGCACAAATGAACCTGCTCAAAAGGTCGCGGTGATATGCAACTTCGTGATGCAGCGCATGGCCCTCACGCCTGGCCAGCAGGAGACCCCGCCGCAAGAGCCCCGACCACACTTGACTGTACCAGTCTACGTGGGGTACGACGACGTTAAGTCCGTGGCAGACTTCCTGGGGGAGTTGCAGACGTACCACCTTGCCTACGGTGCCTCGTAAGCCTTCATCATGGACCGCATTGTCCCGCTGGTGTTGCAAGCCAGTGCTAGAAGCTGGTTGGGGTTGCAGGCCCCGTTCACGAGCCAGACAAGGCTTCGAGAAGAGTTCCTGCCTGTGGACTACGCAACGCAGATTCTCCGAGAGCTCGAGGCAAGGCCCACAGCACTTGGACGAAAGTCAGGACCGGTATGTTCAGGTCATGCAAGAGCTCTTCAAGAGGGCGGACCCGAATACACCGGAGTCGGACAGAGTAGCTCGGGTCAGAAGACTGTGCCACCCAAGATACCACGCCTGCCTCATCGAGGAAGCTCTTCATGCTGAGCGGAACTACGTGCTGCCACCACCAGCCAAGTACGCACTCAAACCAGCATGCCCCGAGGCCTCCACGGAAGTGGACTGTTCGAATGAGACCTCTCTTCCCCACCACATCAACCGGGAGAGTTGGCGTGACATGTATGGCGTTCGACTAACTCTCATCGAGAGGTCCCTGGAGGTCACAGCAGTGCCTGTGAGGATCTCGGGCGGGGGTCGCCACGACAGGTGGGAGGTCGTTGGCCGTGCCCTATCGCAAGTTGGGGCCCAACGGAGATCACTACCCAAGCGAACCATTTGTATCAGTGTGCTCCTGCAAGTGCTGGGGAAAACTGGCACGCTGCGGTCGAAATCCCGCAGCAAAGCAGCATTGACCCCCGCCGCAACGGAACAAGCCCTCCCCACAACAGCTAATCGCAAGCCTGGTAGAGGCCTTCCCATAGTGGTTCTTTACCAGATCACTGGAGGCGGGCACCTCGGTGTGGGTGACCTAAGCAGGCAACTGTTGTCGGACTGCTGCTACAGGTGCGAGCAGCCCGACCACCAACGAAACTAGTGTCCAAGACTTCTGGACACTACAAACAAGAGGTGGCACGAGACGGCGGGAAAGGGGCTGGAACCAGAACAACCAGGGAAACTACCACGGCCGCCAACGCTGAAACCAGACAGCCACTGGCTGAAAGCCGTTACAGTCCCGGTGCTGCGGCAGTGAGGCCGCAGCACAGATTTCATCGGAATGTCGAATCCAGCCCGAGCCTATCATCATTGAACCGTGCATGACGATCACTTTGCTCAGTTTTCCTTTTGCTGCACTTTTGGATTCTGGGGCCGCTGTCTCACTTAGAGGGGATTTCGTTTTCGAACCCTGCAAAGCAAGAAAGATAAGTCTCCGGGAATGCGAAATTCGACTACAGCTAGCTTCTCTGACCTTCGAGAGGCTTGAGAAAATCTAGACGTCGCCCGAGTGCAGCAGTCGTAACGGTACAACTAGGGGCAACGTGACCTGCAGTTCGAGTTGTCGCAGTTTAATTTGGATACAGCTGACGGCAGCAAAGGGCTGGAACCAGAACATCCAGGGAAACTTCCACGGCCGCTAACGTTGAAACCAAACAGCCACTGGCTGAAAGCCGTTACAGTCCCGGTGCTGCGGCAGTGAGGCCGCAGCACAGATTCCATCGGAATGTCGAATCCAGCCCGAGCCTATCATCATTGAACCGTGCATGACGATCACTTTGCTCGGTTTTCCTTTTGCTGCACTTTTGGATTCTGGGGCCGCTATCTCACTTAGAGGCGATTTTGTTTTCGAACTTTGCAAAGCAAAAAAGATAAGTCTCCGGGAATGCGAAATGCGACTACAGCTAGCTTCTCTGACAACCTTCGAGAGGCCCGAGGAGATCTAGACGTCGCCCGAGTGCAGCAGTCGTAACGGTACAACCAGGGGCAATGTGACCTGCAGTGCATTTCATGCCGTGCAATTTATAAACATTGTACCTCGTGCTAACGGCTTGTAATCCAGATATCGGTTTACCCATCTTGTGACAGGGGACAACTACCTACCTGGCAGCCCTTCTATGGACGTCGCCGAGCCAGAGGCAAGTGCCAGTGTCACAGCAGCTACAGGAGCAGACCCGGGTCCCCCCACCGAGCAGACCGTACCTGCTCCTGCAGCTGCTTCAAGCTGCAGCAGCGACAGGGTGGCGGCGACTCAGGATGAAGGCAGGCCGGCCAGAGGGAGAATGGTGCTCCTAGAGCAGGCTCTCTCAGCAGAGAACGACGTACGAAGTTCTCTGCTGAGGGCAGAGTCTGCCATTCGAATCAAGCTCCTTGAAGAGGAGCAGCAGATGAAGGTGGCAGAGCACCAGATGAAGGTGGCAGAGCACCGTGTGCGGCTCCAGGTGGAGCAGACGAACTTAAAAATTGCGGAGTGGAAGCTCAGGGAGCTTCAGCAGGGAGGCGAAAAATAAAAAAAAGTGCCAATGCCTCGACTTTTGAAGGGATCTAATTTATTTCACAGAAGTTGAAAGCTGGGGCTATATCCAGAAAAGGATAGGGTGCGATTTCAGCTTGTTTCACATTAGGCATGCTTTGAGAAAATGCATAATTACATAATGGCTCCTGCCCTTCATCTATTATCATTTGGGCTAGTAAAAAGCCACTGCACAGTCACTACAGCAAAGGGTTTGGCAATATTTTCACATTTTTATTGGTGAATAAACAGGAATAGAAAAAACAGTAAAGGCATTTGCGAAATACACACACAAAAAAAACTTATTAACATATGAACATACCTCCAGACGATGCTTATAGGACAGTTTCATTGGACGCCGTGCTATTTACTCCAGTACAATGAAAAAAAGCCACTTTCACGACAAAAGCTTTAAAGGGGCGATGGAACAATTTTTCGTACTTCGTGAAGATACTGCGTAAAACAAATCCCCAAAGTTTATGAGCTATGAAACACGCTTGTGTTTTTAAACCCGTGCAATAAAAAACGCATAAGAAAAAAATGAAATAAATGGCAGAGTTTCCCCCTTTAACTTGCAGCCAGAAAAAGTGGCCAAGTGATTTGGAGACGATTATATGGCACCAATGTTAATCATAGTACAGGACACGCGCCGAATCGCAAACATTGTTGGTTTGGCTATTGTCATCGTTGCAGCACTTGGACACGAGCCACTACCTGAATGATTGCCAAGCTGTTATCACATGCCCAAATCGAGTGCTCACGCAATACTATAAGGTCCAATCTGTGAGCCGCATTCAAATATTGTCACTCTGAGGGGGGACTACACCGACAATGCGACCCCTGAGCGTTTGTGTAGGAGTGATTGAAAGAAAATGGTTGCTTTTATCTGAAATTACACTGCAACAAAAAATGTTTCTTGGTCAGCGGCATTGCATTTAAGTATACTAGGGTTCCTCTAGTGCCAGTAAGCTTGTGTAAAGTGAAAAACATTATAACTGAATATTGTTCCACCGCCCCTTTAAGGCAAAGCTCGATCAGACATTGCAGAAGGGAGCTTCCACTTCGAAAGAAGTTTCTACTTGAAGCTTCTTTCGATGATTTGCTCCCGTTTCTGTATGCCCGTGAGGGAGTCCTCCACGGTGTCCACGGCGGGTGGCAGGTGGACTGGCCGTGTGGCCCTCCTCCTGGGTCTCCGTGCCCTAGGCACAACTGGCGGAGCTCGGGGAGGTGGAGGCTGTGGGTCCTTTCTCAGGCAGGCCAGGTTGTGGAGTGCAGCGCAGGCTGTGATGATCTGCACGGCCCGACGTGGCTTGTGCTGCAGCCTCATGTCGAGGCAGGGGAAGCGCCGCTTCCAGATGCCAAAGGCCCTTTCGACAGAGTTTCTCGTCTTGATGTGGGCCTTCTGGTACCTGATCATGTGAGGGAATATCATGAGTGGCTAATTAAACTATAATATTGCCTGTAGATCCCTTTCATATCTTTCTCCCGAGTAGCTCGATTTCAAAATGCTCCAGCACAACGCACTAGCCGCAGACAATGACAAGCAGGAGAAGCTTCACTTGTCCCGCCTCCAGCATCAGCATCATACATTCGGTAACACATTGTCATCTTGTGCACTTCGTGCATGCATGTGCAGCCAAAGCATGCGAGAAGGCATTGAGCGTGCTCTGGAGGCAGGGCAGAAAGACTCCCTGCAGTTCTCATTGTGTCAGTGACTATAATCCTCAATAAGGGCAGATATTTTCGGGGCTAACGTTGTCACACCCAGTATCTTACTTATTTTGTTCATACATTATTTAACCATCGCAACTAGCGCACAAGTTCAGTAGTCTTACTAATGTTCCACGTTTGTATATAATGTTTTCCTTGTCTTTAATAAAGTAGAAAGTTGGGCTAGTTGATTCTGGTTATACATAATGACAAATACACAGCGCAAAAGGACAAAAACGGAAGAGACACACCGGATAGAACAGAGCGCTGTTCTATCCGGTGTGTCTCTTCCCTTTTTGTCTTTTTGCACTGTGCATTTGTCATTATGTATTTTCCTTGTCTCCACACATAGCCCTACATTTGCTCAGGCACTTGTAGGATTTACTTGCCTGCCTCGTGGTGTGTTAGCTGGACCGGGATCTGCCAGGGGGGTCATCAGGAAGAAGAAGCAGGCGTAGCCCATGTCCCCAAGCAGCACCCCTGGTACCCGGCGTTCCTCGTACAGCACCCGCACACGGGAGTTGTCAAATATCCGGCTGTCGTGTACCGACCCGGGCCAGCTCACAACCACATCGTAAAATTGCAGCTGGGGGCCGGTGACAGCCTGCAAGTAGATTGCGTTGAAATGAAACATGGAGACATGAGTAAGAAAAATTAGTGGCAATGGTCCCATCGAATGAAACTGTCGTAATACTCGACAAATATTTTCATTACAAAAACTGCTCAAGTGATGTGTTCTGACAATGTCAATATGAACATTGTAAGCTTCGAAAAGTATGAATATTGCAGTTCATTTGGAAGCGAATATCAAATAACGTATTATTTGAACTACTATTAGAAAATTAGAATATTCGTGCAGCCCTACTTTTTGCACATAGAATTCGTGCAGCCCTACTTTTGCACATAGCATCAAGGGGAAAAAAATCTGTACTTTCTTAAAGGAGCGATGCAACAATTTTTGTACTTTGCGCAAATACCGCTTAAAACGGATCCCTAACGTTAATGACCTATGAAACAGGCGTTCGTTTTTCACCCCACGCAATAGAAGTCCCAGAAAAAAATTAAAGAAAAACGAGCAGCGTTCACCCCCTCAACTCGCACCCAGAACAAGCGGCCACGTGATCTGGAGCCGATTATATGCCGCCAGTGTTGATCATAGCCACGCGCTGGGGTTGGCAAAGCGCAGGACACGCGCTGAGTTCCAGACGTTGTTATGGCTCGGCTGTTGTCATCGTTGCAGCGATTGGACACGGCTCACAACCCGAATGCTCCTCGAGCTAGCAATTGTCACGAGCCCAAGTCGAGTGCCCACGCAATGCTCGGGTCCAATCTATGAACCGCATTCAAATATCGTCACTTGGGTGTACTGCGACCCCCGAGTTACGTCATCAAATTTTGCAAAGGAGAGATTGAATGAAAATGATCGCTTTTGTCCTTGAAATTACACCGCAACAAAGGAGTTTCTTTGACAATGGCGTTGCGTGTGAGTATCCTTGAGTCCCAGGTGTGCCATTAAGCTCGTGTAGAGAGAAAAGCATTCCAATTGAATATCGTTGCACAGCTCCTTTAATTTTCAGTGGCATCGCCAACCATGTCATGTGCCAGACGCTTTAGAGCAACATGTAGCAGGTTATTCATTCTGGCTCAGTTTGGCGCAGCAGTTCAACCACTGCATATAGCGAAGCAAAGACGAGAGGGCTTTGACTACAATGCTTGGGGCAGAATTTCCAAATTTCATGCAGTCGAACATGAGCGCATACTCCAATGAATAACATCTCGCGATCGCGCAAGCGTTGCTCTTTAAACTCTAAATTCGGTAAACCGCGGTAAACTCTGCACTCGTTACCTGGACGTTGATTGAGAACACTCCCTTGCGGTTGCGGAACACCTCCGCGTCGTCGCCGCCGGGGCTCTTGATTCGCACGTGGGTGCAGTCGATGCACCCGGTGACGCCGGGGAATTTCGCAAGTGCGAAGAAATCGAGCATCACCGTGTTGAATTGGGCGGCGCTGGGAAAGTGAACGAGGTCCCGGAACAAGTGCCTCGCGATCAGCTGCGTAACTACTCCGACCGCGCGGCACACTGTCGGTTGGGACACGTTCACGAGGTCCCCAGTCACAACCTGGAAGGTCCCGGCACCATAAAACCGCAGCGTGACCAGCAGTTGCAGCATGGGGGTCAGCGGAAGGCCTCTGCAGTCGGTGCTCGTTTGTAGCGGCAGCATCCCGAGCAGCTCTCGCACGGTTCCCTTCGTAAAGCGGTACCGCGCCAGGAACTGCCCGTCGTTGTAGCGCTCCATTGGGTTCTCCCTATCCCGAATTGATGGTCGCGGGACTCGTGGCAAAGGGAACGCGTCCCCGAAGACGACATCGCACGCGCGAGTTGCGAATTCGAAGGCGGAGATCCTCTCGGCGACGTCGCTTCGCCAAGCCGCCATGTTGAAACGACTACGAAGTCGCGTTCAAGATAGGTCCAACGCAGTCTTGAAATTTGGGCACTTCAAGTTCGCTTCAAGCTCCGTTCAAGATCGGTTCAAGTTAAGGTGCGTTTATGAAGCACGCTTGCTCGTCGCAAGACGGACTTGAGCAAGTTGAAGCTCGACTTCAGAGCAAGTCACATCTATGAATTCGGGGGTAAGTGAGCACTCGATTTGGGCTTATGGCAATCAATGCCTCGACGAACATTGGGGTGGTGGCTCGTGGCCAATCGCTGCAATGACGAGAATAGCCGAACGCTAAGATTATGTGGAACTCAGCACGTGCTCTGTGTTTTACGAACCCCAGCGCAGGGCTTTGAGTGAGTGATGAGGGGGTGAGTTTACTGGGGAAATAACCGAGGAAAGAGGGGAAATGCTGAACGAGAGGTTAGCCACCCAATAGAGAGGTCATATTTATCGTTCAGCTTGGGAAAAAGTAAGGAGGGCTTGCGACTGTCTGTCGGAATTAAATCAACAAATGAGAGGTCCGTGGCCTCGAGGAAATCAAGGATATGCTAGAGTACCTTCATCCTTGTCGCTCATGGTCCTTTTGGTAAAAGCAGGCTTTGAGTGTCTTGGTTGTCGATGTTACTTCCCACGATTGCCTTTTGACGATCATCCCTCGGTTCTGCGTGTTTTGAGCACACTAAAAAAGTGTGTTGCCAATTTTCTGTCAGGTCGCACTGGGCACTCTTTAAAGCAGGTTGTCGTCGGATGAGGGGCCAACAAATAAGTCCCTTATTTGTTGGCCCCTCTCACACAACCAGTTTGCAATTTGTGAAGTAAAGATTGTTGTTCTGTGAATATTTTAC